AGGGCAATTAAAATCCTAAGAGGAAACCTAGCAGGCAGCTTCAGACTCCATAAGGACATGAGCATTATAAATCCATCTCCACAGGAATACTGAAGTAACACTTACACATATTCTTTACTACCAAGGGAAGCCTTTAATAAAAATAATAAAACAGCGGTAATGTATTTTCACATGCTAAAAAAAAAGGAAAAAAGAAAAGATTGAATAGCTGTCATAGCAGCATGCAGGTAGCATGAGGAAAAATCTGCCCTAGCACCTCTCTTCCTTGGTAACTCTTGTCTTCTTATATGCCTTAATGGATCTCTGTGATTTACGTGGGAGCGCAGGTCATGGTGACCCACCGTGAGCTGTGGTGACATGAGGCTGGCGACACCGTCCCTGCTGTCTGCTGCCGTGGGGAAGGGGCAACAGAGGGGGGATGCGATCCGCAAAATGAGGAGACTTTGCAAACCTCTGGGGACTCTCCCTTCCGACAGCTCCCCCGCGGCTGCTCAACAGCGGGGCTCTCTCCTGGAAATCAACCTGATTTTGGGGATTCCTTCTCAACACACAGCACGAGAACATCTTACTCAGGGTTTGCAACCACGCATCTTGGTGGCACAGGCTAGCGGCCCAATCTCACTGCCAAAGCGACCCCTGCAAACACGCCAGGACGGCTACGAGCACAGTAACATGGCTGGGGCCAGACGGAAACAGTGCTGCGACCACAGGGCTGACATATTAAGGGAACAAGAGAGCTGCAAGAATATAATGAATTGCCCAGAGCTACATTTAACTGTGTTATGTGGTATACATTTGTCAGCCCTCTCCCAAATTTTCCCCTTAGTGTTCCTACAAAATTACAAGCACTTTCCTTAGTTTAAAAACACAATGTCCAACAGACTACGTGAGAACAGATGGAGCTAGAAATACAGTCGGCGACTACCAAATGCAGAAATGCTACAGCTATAGTTAATACTAGAGCTAATACCAAACTCCCTCACACAAACCAGTGCAAAGTAATTCATCACTACAGTATTAAAATAACAGCTACAGCCTTGCTCCTGGTCTAGCTGTGGGAAAGGCAGGGGAACATTCGAAAGTCCCTTTGCTGACAGCAGCTGAAGATGACTAGAAAAATAAAAAGAAACTCCTGGGCCTCTTTTGCACAGGGCCCTTGTCCTTCCCGCTCCTGGAAACGCGGCAGGTAAGCGGGAAAGGAGAGCCGGGATCGAGCGTCCTCGCCGCTCTCGTCGGGACGCGCTCGCCAGCTCACTGCCCAGGGCAGGGACACGAAGCTCCCGCTGCGGAGCGGGGCCTGCTCCTGCAAGCACCAACACGCGGCACCCTTCCCAAGGAAGCTTTGGATAACATCAGGGCTCGTTTCAATTAAGCAGAAAAACTCGTATTTAAGCTAGACCCTTAGCACATGCAAACTGATTCCGGCCAGATTGCTTAGCTTTGGCATTTCAGAGCTGTTTGTAAAAGAAGTCACACAAAGGAAGAGATGTTAGAGCTTCACAGAAAAAAAACACCTCACAGACAGCCACCTATTCTGCCCCTCAAGAATGACACAGCAGGACACATTTCCATACACTCAATACTGATGGAGGGAAGTGGTGGGAAGATGGAAAGCTCAAAAAGGAAAATAATGCAGGGTGATTACGCTGTTCAGCTGCTTCTATGAAACTACTCAAAACTGACACACAGATCAACAAGTAAATGAGCGTTTTTTGATCTGTAAGATGACAAAAATTGCATTCCCTTTCAAATTACTACAATAGGAGACTATAGTTAAAATAGGACACAACATTAGCATCCACGCTATGGCAAGGCTTGATTTGGAAGAAAGCAAAGGAGTATTTTAGAAAAACTTTTCCGATTTCAGACATGTGAATGGTGCAATGAATCTCCTTGCTGTGCAGTGAACATATAGCTGTAAAATGTCCTAATAGGAAATAGAAGGGCTAGGGTAGTTTTGAAGGAAAGTTGACAAAAGGACTGTACTGATGTGACATATCTCAAAGCAGTCATGGTCTACTTTCGTGTGGAAAGTATTTTCTAAATTTCAATTTTCTAGCTTCATCTCTGGCTAAGAAATAGAAAAGTCTGAACCAGCAAGTTCATTTAGGTTTGTATTATCAACACATGTTACCGTTCTTGCAATATTTAGTCCCTGTCTACCACAGAAAACAAATCAATGGAGCTATTTGTTCAGTGTTCACCACAACAAACCTGCATATTTTACAACTTCATTTATAAACACAAAATCAATAAAATGTATATATTTACTGCTGCTGTTTAGGAATCCATGCAACAGATCCTATTGCCCATCAGCTGCTCTAGTTATGCACGTAGCTACTGACAGACAGACTTTGCTGTTGCATCAAAGGCAGCCCTGGCTAGCTGGCCATTAAGCTGCTCCTTAAAATCAGCAAAGAAACCTCATTCTACAAAATTATGGGATTATACCAGGAGCACTTGCAAGTTCAACAAAGGCAGAGGAAATCAGAGAGAGAAGAGGAACTGCAGGTCACGGATCACAGCAACAATGAAACCACCTGAGCAGCAGCACTTAATGCAGACAAATGAAAGGGTCTCTGAAAAATTACTGTAGGTTACACCAGATGGCACGCAGTATCCTGTAACACTGACAAAGATTGTTTTAAACCTATTTATGCAGGAATACATTAAAATTGTCCCTTGCAGCCTGATGTGTGGTACATATATCACTGCAGAATGGTTCTCCCCTAATCAGCAGTGAGGAGGCAATAGCTGTGATGTGACGCTCGGTGCGGCTTCCTCCAAAATCTGCAAGGCAGCCATCAGCTTTGCTATCTTAATCCAGCCCAAGGAACTGCACAAACGTCATTTTTGTGATTTGACCAGCCAGAGGCAGGTCTCAGATCAGCTGCTAACCTCTGCGGCAGCTGCATTTAGCCTGGATCTCAGCAGAAGCATCTCCGGCTTCGCGGCGGCGTCGCTGACATTTCTCTCCAGAAGCGCCACCAAAGTGCACTCGATGTCCCCTCTCCTTGGCTGCCACCAGCCACACACTCCTCTACTGTCACTGAGCAAAGGCCTTTTCTTAAACTATCCTTTACATACAGGCCCTGTATGCAAAACCACGTCTATGTGGACATACGTGTGTATCTGCCTATATATGGGTGTGGGGGTCCTTGCGTGCATGGATACTACACATACACTACCTGTGTATTTGCATTCCGCATGTAAAAACATCTCAGGAGAAGTTCATACAAACTCCCATCCTAACGTGCATTACATTGTATTCATACAGTGCATTACAAGCATTTTCTTGAAGATAGGACAGGACCACAGCAGATTCGCTTCATAATAAAATGCTTATATGTATATATGTATAGCACACATGCTAACGACTGCACCTAGAAAGACAAAATATAACACAAACTACATTCATAACCTTTGGGGCTAATTATAACAGCAGTGTAGTTTCTTCTCCCTAGACTGCAGCATTATCTGCTCTGTTTTAGTAATGCTCACCAGGAGAAATCCACCAGTGACCAGTAAAAACTCACTAACTAAGACTCTGAATGAAATACCACCAAACTCATGGAACACTACATACAGAGAACAAAATATAAAGTTAACATAGTAGAATATAAGTTACAGAGATGCTCCATCTATTTTGAGTTCAATAAATTTTAAAATGTCAGTTTCTGCATTGAATATTTCTAACTCAGAAGATGGACAGAAATACTCCTAATTTCCCTTTAAGGCTTCTTTCCCCAACTGTTGATAAAACTTCCATGCTCTTCGTGTAGCAGTGTGTACTTTGAATGCTCACCTCTCTCCTTTTGAGGAGGGTGTAAAGCAGTTAACACCCTTCTTTTCTTAGGATTCCTATGAGTTTGGAATGAAGCAGGAAGACGCAGGACAGCGATTTCTCAGTGTTTCACTCTTTGGGAAGACTGTCAAGCTGGTATGATGCACAACTACATTTATTAGCAGGCCTGATAAGCCTCACGAGACACAGTCTCAGAATATCTGACACCACTCGTTACTAGTATTCTCTGCCGAAAAGGTTTAATAAAACGACAAAGAAAACCTCTTATAGGGTAGGTGCCAACTAAATATTTCCTTCTTTGGGCTAACCATCTCCTCCCAGCTCTGCAGACACTGAGAAGCGTAACACTAGCTACAAGATCTTATTGAAACAAAAAACGCCTGGAAAGATAACCTTGCAATCCTGATACTTCTTGAGGAGAAAAAAAAAAAAAAAAGGGTAAATTAGGGGAATTGGCTGACTTTGCATTTTCAACAAATTCCTCAAACCCCCACTTACCTGGAAACTTTCTCTAGTCTTACATGACAAATGGAAATTTCCTGTGCTTTAGGGAAGCACTCATACAATGTGATGTGCAACTTTAGCAATGCATGGAAAGTTATTATTTCTGTTCACCTCTATGTCCATGTTCAATCTCAGACGAGAGGCACACTTCCAAACTGCTTATTAGCTGGGCCACTAGAGATTTCCATATCTTGCTCTGTCCCTTCCATAATACGCCCAGAACACACAGGATCAATAAAAAATACTATAAAGACTGGAAAGCTTTCACCTCTGGTTTCCAATATGTTCAAATTTCTTCCAGTTTAATAAACGCATGCACCATGTAAGACTTGTAAAGGTAAAAATGCAGCATTTTGAAAGAGAGGAGGATGAGATGTTTTTGCAGGTGAAGACTATTTAATGCAACTGCGCCAAAACAATCCCCTTTGCTTCACACGACATATGGAGCTTCAGGGAAAATCTCAGAGAGAAGAAAAAAAAATACTAACAATTCTGCAAATATGGATCAACAATCTTAGCGTATGGCTCGTAACGCTACAGCGTTAGGTCTCTCCTTCCAGATAAAGCAGATTTTGTTTGAATAACTGGTTGCCGATACTCTGAGTCACTCTCTTGCCTAAAGTACCAGCTAGAACACTATGAAGCATCAACTTAAGACCAGAGTATCACTTTAAATAAACCACTGACTCACCTTGTCACGCAAATGATGCTCTGCAGCCTCAATATTCAAAGGATCGTCAAAATTCAAAAGATCCTGAAAGAGAACCAGAGAAAATTATAGTTTTTTTCCCCTTACTGCTCACTGCATCAAACAGAAAACTCAGGGTATTTATGAAAAATACAAGGAAACAAAGCAGAGAAAAACAGCAGGTGTGCCTCTGTCTTCTCACTGCCTTCACAGATATTCCTGCCAAAGGGAGATGCGTACGAGTGTGGTGGTTGTAAAACGACTCACAAATCAACGGAAAGGTAAACCCACATGTCTCAGTGCCCCACACTCAGCCCTTTGACACTCCATGGCAGTGATGCGCCTCCATTTGAAATATTGAGATATTTTCAATTTAGTTTTTTTTAGGGAACATCCACATTTTCTGGAGGCAAAAATTCTGACTTTGACATGCACTATCAACAAAATTTTAGACCTACAAACTGCCCAGTAATAAGGGAGCAAGAATTTCCTTAAAGCCACCTTCTTGCAGTACAGTCAGTTTTGTTTCATTTGTTGGCAAACTACATAACGTGAAGCCTGGCAGACCATAAAGTGTTAGTGAAATTGGAATAAGAGGGCCTAGAGTGAAGGAAAAGGAGTGCAAAGACCCCAAGATATAAAGGCAGGTTGGGGGCAGAGAGTAGAACAGCCAAAATAACTCTCAGGACTATCAGTTCAACCTTGGTAGGGATTAACTTTGGAAGAAGACAGGGTGTAGAGTTGAAAACAGAAAGCATCTGTGTGATGAGCAGATACCCATTTATCTGCAGAAACGGCCTAACGCCGGCTTTTCAGCGCCTCGGTGTTTTGGAGCAGCTGGGCACAGGGGACGCCGGGAGCCAGGTAGGACGCGCGGCTCCGCACGGACACGGCGGATCCCGCGCTCTCCGATGTGGGACTGTCCCTCTCAGCAGCTGCTGCCCCATGAGATTATTTTTACGTGCAGTTCAGCGCGGTCCCCGCTGAAGGGGCCTCTCTGTGCCACCGGCGGATCCACTGGCTGGCAGGTATTTAGCATGCAGCAGCAGACGCAGCCACGACGGGCAGTTACTCTCTGGTGAAAAGGCAAATGCTCTCCAGCCTCGCTGAATCAAGGTACTAAAGGAGCTGTTGAAACGAATCCAGCCTTTCGACGCCAGGCTCGGTCTGTGCTCGAGATTTTAGAAAAGCCCTGGGAGTGCTGGTGACAGGAGCCGGCAGGACGGTCACTGCTCTGCCCTAAACTCACCCAAAATTATTCAAAGCCGTCCCTGTAGGCGCTGCAGCGGCTCGAGTAGTTCCCACCGGAGTCAATGACAGGTCAACTCCTGGCAGCAAAGCCAGTCAAGGTCTTTCTCTGCTTTGCCCTGAGCTTTCACAGCAACAGCACTGGAAGGGGACCAAAATCCCGGGCTCTCTAAAAAAGGGCAGTTTTCTGTACAGGAAAGACTTGGCCTCCCTCCACTTCTGGGGCAAAAGCCAGTGTTGTAGGCAGATCCTGCCACCTCCTGCAGTTCCGAGCTGCTCCCCTAAGCACGAGGAATGGGCTCCTTGCACCAGTGGATCTAAGGAGAAGGGGGGATATGGGGTTCCCGAAGGAAATCTGACCATTTCAGGGGCTGCTGAGGGTTTCTGCAAGTTCTGTGTGTGACTAAGGAAGCCCTTGAACATGGATGGAGTTGTTCAAAAATAATAATAAAAAAAGGACTGCAGTGCAGTCATTAACTACCGAGCCTCGCTTTTAACAGCCATAACCCCAACAACTCCTTTAGCAGAGCACATGTTTTTAGTTCCCGGAAACCAGTTGAAGGAAACTCATGCGTGTGGAAGATCCCAAGCAGCTTATTATGAAAACATCCAGTAAAAGATGTGTAACTAAAAGTAAAAAGAGGGTAGGAAAGGCATTATGGACCTTGCACAAGCTTTGCGGTTATTCAAGCAAAACCACAAACTGATTCTACCCAGGGACTCATTCGATACACACAGAAGCCAAGGGAAATAACAGCCTTAACTACAAGAGGCAGCAGGCTGGCTTCGCATTAGGTGAGGCTGAGGCCAAATCAGGCAGGGAAAAGGGAAGTGAATATGCAAAAATATGCTTTTACTTACAGTAAATAAAGAGTTTAATCCCCAGACAACATCCTGCAAAAGAAAAGCAGTCAGCTGGACATGCATTTCAAACATTTTGAACAATTTGACATACTTAGATTTCTATTAATCCAGGAAATTATTGGAAAATCAAATCTAGTTTGAGGGTTACATTTTATTAGGTTGAATTGAGGTATTGAAAAAGCTTCCCTATTCCATGGATGCCTAATATTTTAAAATCACCAAATCCCAAGTTCCCAATATTCAAACACAAGCTCAGATTCCTTTTGTGCATATAGGATGTTCCTCCACTTGCTTCCCTAAGTAAAGGAATAATACCTTAGCATTTGCTACTACCAATTTAAACTCTGGCCCCTAGTTCAAAGGATTGCTACAAAACTTGATTTAACGACCAGTTCTTAAAATCAAAACTGTGTCAGGCAAATACCTGAAACTCTGTCAAACACCAGAGAAGTAGATCTAGGTGAAATGCGAGTAGAATAATACCATCCATATAAGAATACATCTCAAATTATTTATTTGCCTATCAGCTTTACACAGTCGAACCAAGAGGGCTTGCAATTCCTGCCAATAAGAAGCTGCAAGAAAAAACTGTCCCCAAATATTCCCTCGACTGCTGACATCAAATGCAATCTGCTTTGAGGTGGGCACCTCCTAGCACTGACCTGAGAGTCCCGAGTTACGTGCTTTAGAGGCTAAGAAAACGCACAAAGTCCAAGCGTTACAGAAAGACACTTACAAGCACCATGGAGCATCACCTCCTAAGGGAATTTGTTCTAACTGGAGGCAAGATGGTGTCTTTAGCAGCACCCAAACGAAACTGGGTGGCCGTAAAGCGCCGGGGAAGCGCGGTCCCCGGCATGCTCCCCTCAGGGGCACCTCTGCAGGACGTGCCTTGCACCAGCACTGCCCTCCCGACGTGCCAGTGCTTGGCTGCCTCCAATAAAAGCCTCTTTCTGACCTCCACTAGCAGGAGAGATCCTGCCCTTGGTTGACTCTATAGCTAAAGCGTTCCTTTCACATTAAAGCCTTAAAATAAAAGCTTTTTAAAGGCAGCAGAGAAAATAGCAGAAAATAAACTGAGTTTTCTTCTAATCGAGCATCAGAAACCATCACATGCCCTCCTAGAGCGCAGGAACCGGGTGCAGTTGAATTTGCTGTGTTTGGCATTAGGGGAAGAGCTCATGGGCTTTGCTCGGCTTGGTGCCCCTACGTGTGTGACAATGGCACCTCAGAGCAGCACAAAACGCTGCAGGTCCCCGGGCCGGGGGAACCACTCCTGTCTCCTACCAGCTGCCCTGACCTCTGAAGGGCTGAAGCTCCTTCCTCTGCCCTCCTCCAGGATGCCTCATCCTTCATGGAGTCACAGCGAACATCTTGGGAATGGGAAGAACTTCTTGGGTCTGATTTTAACCCGGCACGTGTTTCCCAAAGCCGCTGATAAGGAGCCTTCCCTAAAGCATGGTAATTTGCTCTCTTCCACGCCAAGAAGCAGAATAAATTACATTTAAAGGGTTATATTTCTTCTGTGTATACAGCAAGCTGTGGCTGGCGAACGTGCTGCAGAATTACAGTCCAGGATATCAGAAAATCCCAAATAGGTGCAAGGAGCTTCCACTAGTGAACCAAGAGCAGCCTAGGCAGCTAAGAGCAGCACCTAACACAAGCAAACAGAGTATCTCAAAATACAAATGTAAATCACACCAAACCCTTTCCCCACATCCTTCCACCAACATTCTTCTCATTTGCTGGACCACAGTTGAAAGTCTGAGCACACTATTTAATTCAGGCTGGCTTTGCTGGGTCTATCAAAAAGGAAAAGAAATATCTTTAAGGCTGTAGGTTTTCAGAGCACTTTATTTTCATAGACATCCTGGAGACCAAAAAGCATTAAGGGGATTATTAGTGTTATATGAATAGTTTGTGTGTGAAGTTTTTAGTATCATTTCTGATCTGTTTCCATGTCCTCAGGCTTAACAATTTGCTGGATTTAGGTCCATTAAGGAGTGCTAAATTAATACTACAGGATGACCTTTCTTCTAATGAGCTTGAACACAGCCTGGCTCTAGGAGGTTGAAAAAGGGAGGTGGGATGGAGCAGAAAAGCTGCAGTTCCTCAATTGCTTCAAAATATTTGAAGACCATTAGGCTGTTGCACTGCAAAAATAATCACTTTGTATCACTGACTTCAGCAGAGCTGTTTGTCCCACACAGAGAAGCACTTTGGAGCAGAACAGACTTGCCTTAAAGGTGTATAACTGGGTCCTGATCCGGCAGTGTCCAGGGGAGCCTTCTCCCCTTCCCAAATATCTCTGGCAGGGGGGAGTCAGCCCCCCACATACTGAAGTGAAAGGGGGTTTAAACAAAGGAAACCCGCTCTGCTGCCGGCACTGCAGACACCTAGAGCTCAAGCACGGTGAAGCCAACACGAGTAAGTCAGAAGATCAACAGACTGTTATAAACAAACCTTTGCAACCAGCCCTTTTCAGTCGATTGAATCAGAGCGAGAAGTTACATTAAGCCCCTGCCCACGGACTTATTTAGGGCATGCCAAAGGAGGGAAAAACTCTGCCACTGCAGCAACGTTTCAGGGTCAAGAGCAGCGAAACAAAGCATGAAACCCAGCCTTAGAAACAGCCTCTCCGGAGGCGAGAGGCTCCAACGCACTGCAGTCGCGGAGAGGGCTGAACCGGGCCAGGCACCGAAGGGGCCGTTCTCGGCAGCGCTTTGCAGCAGCGAGGCCGAAGAAACCACATCACTGCGGGGCGCTCAGCTGCGCTCGTGGCGCCTGCAAACGCAACCGCTCAGCGTTTCTTTTGATGCCACTGTAAACACGGAGACTGGAAATTAAGATTTTCCCTTTACAGTCAAAGTATATTTAATAGGTTAATTTAAGGTGGTGGAAAGGCAGACAGAACCAGCTAATGAGCTTCCCATCAAACTTCTCTAGAAATTTATGGGGCATTTCTGATCTAATAGACTAACTAAATTAAAACTTGCTGCTAAAGCATGTTAGAAATGCAAACAATTTAACCTTTTCAGCCCAAAGAGGGGAGAAGCAGCCATCTACACAAACAGATCTCTTGGTGACTTTTGAAAACTTGAGGATGCAACTGCAATAAAACGAATGCTCTGCTAGTTTGGAAAAGGACTTTGAACGGCACGGAAAGCTCATGGCACAGCCTGGGTGTCTCTCGAGGGAGCTCTCGCCTACCTGCCTCTGGACTGGCCCAATGTGTTCTCCAGCCCCATCCACCACCTCCTGCCTTCTCTTGCTGCCAAGCACAGCTTCTTTCTCTATTCATCGTAGCCTAGAAAATCAACGTTCCTCATCCCACCCTGACCCAAATGTTCCAGCTCACCCTGGCTTCTCTTTCTGCCTCCTCAATGGGCCTCTGCAACATCTCCATTCTCCTTGTTGACTCAGTTGCTTGTAACTACTCTGTTAAAAAACCTACCGTTTGTGATGCTGCAAATATATGCTTCCATAGTAGAGATGCTATGCATTTTTTTTTTAGCTTACTAACTAGGGACAACAAGCTTTGCATAAAGAAGATGCAAAGCAAACAAACAAAAATAATCTTTAGCTTGCAGGCTGCTTTCTTGCTAAACGATCTTCTCAAAATATTCTTTGTTAATGTTTCTTCTCTGTGTCCGCTCCTCTGAGATCATACATGTAACTTTGCTAAAGTATCTTGCAAAAATCCTGGGGCAAGTGAAGTACCATCGGCACCTGAAATAAAGCAATGTGAAAAACAGGATCTGCAAACAGGAAGAATGGGCATCTCAACACTCCCGTGCCTTGAATGGTCTCCTAGCTCTTGCCTCCCACTCAAACCTAAGGGCAGTGGCTTATTTAGAGGGTTTGGGTAACAGAATGAACTGCTCCAGCTAGCAAATGGAAAAAGGGAGAAGGCTGGAAACAACTTCTCCTGGAGGGAAGAAAACGGGAACTCTTCCAGTCTGTTCCTCTCCTGAGCTAAGCCAGTCATGAAGTGCCAAGCGTGTAGGAGCACCCATCTAAAACGTCTTACTTTTGTTCCCCAGGGTCACTCCAGAGCAAGCAGATGATCTTGTAGAAACCATTCCCTGAATCCTGCAAAGGCTTCATAAGGAAACACGCAGCAGCGATCGCAACCGCTGAAGCGAGAGCCCTCCGGAGAAAAGCCAACAGAACTGATTGGAGTCAATGCAAATTGCACATTCGGGAATCAACAATTTTGGGAAACCAGGCATGGTTTAATCATGTACTTATTGATGCACTGCACTACTGAATCATTCTTTAAAAATGTGCTAGCAATAACAGCTATTGTATTAAAACCAAAGATTTGGCCTTGCCAGAAGCCACTATGGAGAGAAAGAGAAAATTCTTTTATGAAGCAGAGGTCATAACAGGACACTTATTTGTGCAAGTATTTTCCCTGGTCTTGGCATGAACAAAAGGGAAAAAAATCACTCCTTGCAAACCTGGTAAGGCAGGCTTATAAAAATCAAAATATAACAAAACATACTCCTGCAGAAAAATTTCTAAAGCTTATTATAAGAAAAGTATAACAACATTAGGTCTACATAGAAGACCATTTTCAGTTTCTTATAAATTCCCTTTAAAAATACTGGGTCTGAAGGCTTTTGTTTGTGGCTTATTTCTTTGCAGTGAAGAAGAAAGGAAAAGCAATAGAAGCAGTAACAATGGGCGTTTAAACCACTTTTGAGAGCAAGGATATTGGGAGGGAAAACACTACTTTGCAGCGCACTCTTAACTGATCTCCTCTACAGGCTTCAGAGAAGACTTGAACCTTTGGAAGGTCCATTCGTCATGCTAAAATTGTGCCTTTTGTGGTCACAAACACCCACCTAAACTGCAGTCACAACGGACGTTCAGAAACAGCCTGGCCCGTAACAACTAGAGCATCTTTGCAGTTTGGTCCTCGCTGTGCACGTGAGACACGCGGGCCATCCACAGTCCCTAGAGCTGCACAGCCTCCGGGGGGGACGGCAGCCCTTCCTGCAGCGTTTCCTTGCGCGAGCCGCTCG